TATTTTACACATCAGAAACACATCTTGATAGTTTCCACCTTGCACTCTCCTACCATTCAAGCGGAGAAACCTCAAAGGATCCTGTCAAAATAGGTCCTACAATGTTTGTTAAATCCATGCCAGCCATATTTTCAAAACCTCTTTTACCCAGACATAGTAGATTATAATTTGACACTTTTCCGCTGGAATACAGAATACAATCATTCAGTGACGGGCCTCAATGACTGCTGTGCAGTGATGTCATCTACAATACTTCACCCAGAACAACTTTTAACACTAAACATGTTTGGATGTCTTGCCAGTTAAGTCACTGTATGGGGAAAAAATATGACAGCTTCAGCTCATCTGACGATTTCCTAAAAAGAAAAAAAAATACTGTATCTGCTGCAGTTAAATGTGTAGGTACTTTTAACAGAATACTTAGCAAATGTATTTTTGTCAATTAAAAAATGCCTCGTTTTGCGTCAACCAATTAATTTTTTCTGAATATTTAAAAATATTTTCTGTTTTAAAGTAGCACTTTAATATGCACACACACACACATCTTGCTGTAATTCATTTTAAGTTTTGTGTTTGTCAAACATTATTAAAGTCTCCCTAGTAGAAGCTCACTGCAAGCCAGTGCAATGCCGCTCAGTGTATTCTGTGATGGTGTATTGGCTTCCATTGCCACTGAAATTTTGTTTTAAACATTCAGTATAGATTACTGACCAAGGACAGTGTTTCACCAATCACATTTCAACCTAACAGCTGATGTGAAATGTAAAAATCATATTTTTAACATTAAGACAATATTTGAACCAAAACACCGGAACAACCCATGCAGTACGACTAGGAATACACAACAAACCTCTCACCACAAACAGCTCTGAATTTACACACACAACATGCACACACACACACTCTCATTTAAGGCCAAATTTGAAAGGTGATATAAACGGATAAACTAACAGAAAATGTGATCTTCTAACAGCTCTACAGGGTGGATAGAGATGTTCAAGAACACTTTAATAACACAAATATCATTATTTCATATCTTTAAATACATCAATAAAACCAGAGAAGAGACACCAGTTCACTCCCTGATGTTCCCTGACATGGACAAAAACACGTTTCTTTTAGATTTGAGCGTTTGGTTGTACACAATTCTTTTCCATGTCAAGATTTGCACAAACAGTGTTCTCCTACTTGCAAGTCTCAGACAAAAATATAGCAAAACATGGCATGAAACAAAGATCCTCCAACACAGATTGTGTATAGTGCTGAACTAAACCCAGAAAACAGGCACAGTCTATGACAAGAAAACCAGTTGTTAGACTTAGGATTCATTTGAACACACTTTATAGCAGTATGTATATTTAAAAAGCGCAAAAAGGCTCTATTAGAATAAATACCCATAATGCAGAGCGCACGGCAGTAGCAGATTAAATGGAAAGGGAAGTGCTAAAAAGAAGGGTGGTGACTGGTTGCTTTATGAAAGCTATAAGTCTATCATGTGATGCTCAGAATAAAATGAGAGCACTTTAACATCAAATCAAAGCAAATGGACAATTAGCATCTAAACTAAACTATTTAGAAACTGAACAGAACCCTGTCCCAGAAGACCCATTTTATTACTTTTGGACTGACACAAAGGCAAGCGAAACCAGAGGTAAAGCCGGTACCAGTGAAGCCATTCACCACATATTTAATGAAAAAATACACTCTTGATCTGTTTACCTAATGTAAATGACACTTTTTTTTTTTGGTCAAGAGATAATGCATCAAATGCATACTGCATTTTTGTCCTTTAAAATATCTGATTTTAGAGCTCTAGGGGGCAGTGTTGTGTTTTACAGGGCTGTTTACGCTGACCCATTCTGAGTGCTAACATACTGATGCACTTTATCACACACTATGCTCTATGCAGCGAGTAGTATATAGCTTCAACTAGGACACAATATGTAGTGCAGTATGCATTATAGTATGCCATATGTAATGTAGTGCAAATTTGAAGTACACGGCAGGTACAGCAGTCACAACGTTATATGCAATGTGCATTTTAACGTCCAGAATGTAGTATGCCCTTGTGTCATGTAGCAAGAAGTGTGGGATGTGTAGTATGCTATCTACTAGAGATACGCAATATTTGTATTCAAGTGCATTATAAATGGCAATTTAACAATCGTTTTTTCAAGAAAGTGGACACTAGGGTATGTCGGTTTGAATTAATGTGTAGGATTAAAAAACACAAGATTCTTATTAAAACGGCACTGACCGTTTATGCAGTTACTGCCATAAAAGCAACAATGCCAGTCTAATTGCTAATGTAGGACTTGGGTCACTTATTGTGTGGTATCTTTAGTACTGTAGTCTGATCCATATGGAAACTAGACTGCTAGCTACAGAAAATACAGTGTTATCCTGCTAATATGGTTTTTCAGTGTTAAACTTGCTGCTATTGGAACAACACTGTTCATCCGGATGCTATGGGAAACACATCATTAGCATCTGTGTGCATAAGGCTAAGTGTGTGAGCTAGGTGCGAAAAAAAGCACGACACACTCTGGGGGGAAAATGTCCAACAGTGCTTTCAGGCCACAAGGGGGCGCAGTCTTAAATACCTACTGGCTCTAAATTTTCGGTCCCTCACTGGTTGGTAGCAGCAGTAGAGGAAAGATGTGGGCAGAGCTAGTCAAAAGTTTCCCACCTTCTTCGCAAATCCTCTACCTTCTTTTTGGGGGGTGTGGCCATTACTGTTGGTGTGGTTGCCATAGAAAGAAGGTCACTGAATGGGTCAAGGGGTTCGTCTGTAGAAACTTGCGCAGGCTGGGCCAGAGTAGCCGGAGCAGGTGAGTCTAAGAGGGTTGAAAGAGAGCCGCTACTGCTGGAGGATGGTGGAACACGTCCAATTGGCCACGCCCCTCCGGTTGGGGTCACACCCACAGCAGATGTCTGACTGAATACTGAGAATGGGTGGGCAGAGGTGGAGAAGTAGTTGGCACCTGGGGGAGGCATGTATGCTGGGGCAAAAGGGTTACCTGGGATAACAGGACTATAATGCCTTTGTGGCTGGTACTGGGGTGGTTGGGTAAAGGGGTTCAGTGATACTGGAGGGGGGAAGGCAGGCAAGTTTGGGGGGTTGGGTCGAGGAGGTATAGGGGGTTTAGAGAGGGATGGGGTGGCCTCATTCTTCGTTGCTCCGCACAGAGGGTCCAACAAGCTGAGCAAGTCCTGTCCCTCGTTTGGCTCACTGGGCTTCAACAAGTCCGCCTGAGTTTGTGATTGGGAGTGAGGAGACATGTTCAGTGCTTGCCGAAACTCCTGCCCTCCAGCAGACACTCCTCCCTCCTTTTCGCTAGCCTGCTTAACCCCACGCAGCAGGGTCACAGCCGGTGCTAGAACGGCACCCGGTTCGGGTGTTTTTCGACCTTGGGGACGAGGGACTGTGATACAAGCCCCTTCGGTCTTCTCTGCACTGGGATTTGAACTCTCTCTGCTGGCTGGCCGTGCCTCAGGGGGTTCCAAGGGTGGCACGGAGAGAGGTCTCTCCCAGGAAGGTGACTCTTGGCCAAGCAACGTGGACGGGACATCTCTTTGGCTCCAGAGCTTGTTGTACGGATTGGTGGTTTTAAGACCAGGGAGTGTGCGTGTGCGCTCACCAGAAGTAAGATCTATCCGCTGGAGAACAAACAATTAAAACAAGTTTTAGAGGTATAGAGGCCATGCACAGCAATAAATCCGGTTGCTTTGGAGTGCTTAAACCCATTCTGTTCACCTAGAGTTTGGGTGATTGCGGGAGTGACAACCGCAATCAATTCCTAAAAGTGAGATAACAAAACATTACTATGGATCTCATCATAGACCATTGTGAGTTTGGCAGTGTCTCTTGTATTTCCTACAAGTGGAACAATAATTTAGGGCAGAGTTTCTCAAACTTGATCCTGGAGACACACCAACAGTACCGATTTGGGATGTCTCCCTTATCTGACCCCTTCATTCCAGGTCTTGAAGTCTCCTAAGGAGCAGATGAGTTAAACCAGGTGTTTGAATACAAAGAGTTAAAAAATGTGTTCTTCTGGTGTGCCTCCAGGAACAAAGTTGGGAAACACTGATTTACGGGATTCTCTTGTGCATTAAATTGTGGCTGTCACTCCCAAAACTTTGCAGCACAATCTAACCTGATAGTTGAAGTTGGCATGCTGTGGGTCTGCTCGAAGCTCCTCCAAACTTCTGGCGGAACTGAGTGTAGAGTGTGTGCTGTGAGAGGATTTTGTGGTATTTGTGGTTTCGGTACATTCTGGCTCCCCCTGCTGACTACGGAAAGCATCCTGCAACAGGCTCAGGTCAGAGAACTTGTCTAGGACAGGGCTGGACGGAGCAGTGTTACCTTGGAAGCACTCCCCAACCTCCTCACCTTCTTCCACAAGCTCCGCCTCTTTCAGAGACCTGTATGGCTGGGGCCTAAGTCACATATGCAAACAAAAACACATAGGCACACAACATCCACGCCACAAAAACACACAAACAAGCACACACACAACACATGCACAAACAAGTACAAGACACATTATATTTTCATGTTAGATGAAGAGTTGTTGAAATGGGCAGATCTGATCAACAAAACAATCAAAATCACTTTACATTAATAAGCTGTTGCATGCCTCAGGCAAAGACATCACATTTATTAAATCTAGCCATGCAATAAAACTGATTTAAGACAGCATTAAAGACAAATCTAACAAGCCACAGCGTAACTAAATATTATGGTGAACAGTAGCCCCAAAAATATTCAGACTTAAGACACTTGAAAATGAGGTTATCATTGCATTAAATAACAAATTGCTCTTTGGGCCTGATTCAGGACCAAATACTTTGCCGTATTCTGGATTATTTGCAGAACTTCAATAGTACGTACATGAGAAATCTAGAGATGACAAGAGTTTGGGCAAGGAGCTATATGACATACTCAGATACGAAAGATTTGTTAGTTTTAATTACTTTGTTATTGGAGGCCAAACATGCTGGAGGGAGACCTGGTGTATGTTGGTGGGGTTCCAGGTGAAGAGGGTTCAGCTGATTGGGGGGGTCATTTTAAGGGCTGCCTGCAGGACCTGAGACTAGACGATGTGCATCCGGATGTGGAAGTCTGGAATAGTACCCTCAGTGAGACTCTATTTATCTCCAGTGATGCAAAAAACGTGCTTCCTGGATGCATAAGTGATGACATATGCAAGGTATGTGGACACAAATGTTGCTTTTATCCCATTAGATCCATTTAAATTGATCATTACAGCTGGAAAAAGCTGATGCTGTGTTTCTGGTTTGCAGGTGGAGCCTTGCTTAAATGGTGGAGAGTGCACAGTCACATGGAATGACTTTACTTGTTTCTGTCCATGGAATTTCACTGGAAAGACATGTGAAACTCGGGTTTGGTGTGTCAGCGACCCGTGCGTAAATGGTGGACGCTGCGTGGATCTGTTGGATGGTTTTGAGTGTATGCTTGTATTAAACATCCAATTGATATTTAACAGTTTCCTAAAGGTCCTATTAGCAAAATAATTAATTCAGAAATATAATGTGTAAAGGTCGATAATCATGTAGTAAAAATAAATGTGTGTAAAAAAAAAACAGTAAATGGATATTATAAGAAATTTTTTTGTTTTTACAGGCATTGCTAATGCGACTTTTGACAACACACCCTTACACTACAGTGCTAAGGGATCTCTAGTTTACCCGGTGACCAATGTGACCATGGATCTCCGTACAAGGCAGGAAAATGCCATATTACTTCGTGCATGGAGAGGGGCGGAGCTTCTACTGATTGGTCTTGTGGATTCAGCCATTCATGTGGAGCTCCAAACTGAGAACAGCGTGGAACCAGTGATATTCTCTGGACAGAGACAGATTGCAGATGGAAACTGGCATCACCTGCTGGTTGCCATGGCCAGTCCAGAACGTGATGCATCGCAGTGGTTCATTTTGGTGGATGACATCATCGACGGTAGCAGTGCACCGGAACTTGCTGGTAGTTTAAGTTTTCTTAAAGATTTGTTAAGTGAAGTTGCACTGGCAGAGACGTACACAGGATGTCTAGGCGCTGTCAGAGTGGGTGAGGTTTACCTTCCATTTGTAGACAATGCCAAATCACCCCAAACATCGCGGTTTTGGCGACGACATGATGAGCATGTGCGCATAGGCTGCTTTGGTGCTCCAGTGTGCCGCTCTCATCCCTGCAGACGAGGTGGTACGTGTGTGGATCTCTTCAATACATTTGGCTGCCAGTGCCCATCAGGCTGGGAAGGGATCACCTGCGAGAAAGAAACAGACGAGTGTGTCTCAGGACCCTGTCTTCATGGCAAATGCAAAGACAAGTTTAATGGGTTTGACTGCTTGTGTCACCCAGGATATGCTGGACCTACATGTTCAGAAAACATAGACGACTGCAAAGGATCGAAGTGTAAGAATGGGGGAACCTGTGTGGATGGAGTTAATGACTTCACCTGTATCTGTCCACCTAAGTACAGCGGAACACGTTGTCAGTGAGTTCCTACAGATCACACACACTGATGCCTGGACTTGACTCAGTGGTAACTTACAATACATATGCCTTTCAACAGAGAACAGGGGTAATAATGTGGCCTTCAGAAAGACAACTGCAAACCTGGTTGCAATTGTAAATGCCAGTTGAAAAAAATATCAGATAATTGACTATTAATGTTTTCAAATCTCCCACTTTCTTTCACATAACTGTTATTTCTTGTTACCGGAGTTTGAATGAACCAGTGAGACTGAAGTTTTGGGGGTTTATCCATTTGTTTGTTTGTGTTCTTGTGCATCAGGTATAACTACCCTCCTCTAAAGTGTGAACTGGATGTTGAATGTGAAAATGATGGCGTTTGTTATGACACTCAATGGGGGGCAAACTGCACCTGCCCTCCAGGATTCACAGGAGACAGGTGGAATTAACACTTACATCACTGTCCATTAGAAATAAATTGAATATACAAATATATTAATATAGATGACTAAGTGCATATGTATTTGTGTACATATTTATTTCCACAGATGTGAGAAAGAAATTGATGAGTGTGCATCTAGCCCATGTCTAAACGGTGGATCGTGTCTGGATCTGCTGAACCGGTTTCAGTGTTTGTGTCCAGCAGGATTCAGTGGCCAATTCTGTGAAACAAATGTAAGTAAACACTGAGTAAAATAATAAGCATGCAGTTTAGGAGCGGAAATGAGAATGCAAACTAGTACAGTAGTGCTGAGTGTTTTTTTTTTTACCTGCCAACAGTAACAATTTGAATCGCTCTCTGCAGAAACAAGCTCAGCAAGAACATATACCATGGTTGGCAATAGCGGTTCCATTGGCATGTGGCTGTATCCTATTGGTGGCCATTGGACTCATTTTTATGTTGATGACAGCACGCAGGAAGCGGCAATCTGAAGGAACTTATTCCCCAAGCCATCAGGAGATTGCTGGTGCACGCCTGGAGATGGATAGCATGCTGAAAGTACCACCTGAAGAGCGACTAATTTGAACACACAAACAGATGTAGATAAAGGGGCTCTAATATTATCTGTGTGACTCTGGAACTACACTGGAACTTTCCAAGACCTTGTGGTATTACGGAGCCACAGTGAGAAGCAAGTGCTACATCAAACAAGCAACCTGAAGATGTATGGTAATACGAGTGAAATAGGAAAAACAGGAAGGCATTAATTATGGTTGATCTTTTGTGGAGACCTAAAACTTTGGAACTTAACCGGCAACTCTCTCAAGTGTAGTTGAACTTGAACTTGGTGATTATTTACCTCATGGCATTGTATGCCGGAAAGGCTTTGACAAATACTTCAAAGAGACGGAAATAAGAGTTCACATGCATCCCACAGCATGTAAAATCTTTAACCAATCCCTCTCAAAGATCAGCACTATAATGCTAATGAAGGAGTGAGCAACATTTTAAAAAAAGAAAAAAAAAAATCACAGCATTTGAATGTACAAGGTATGTCTGTAGCAAGACTGTTAACTAGCTACTATTCCTGCTGTAGGCTACTACACTGGATATGATAATCAACACTGAGGAATGTGGCTTCATATTCATGCCGATGTGAACAATTAGCCATATATTAGCATTTTCAAGAGTGGAAAACAACTGAAACTAGGTACCCTTTTAAAGTAATGCATTTTCTTAAAATAAAAACTGGGCGTTGCTGCTTTGCGTACTTCATTGCATTGTTGCCTTCACATTGTGTCAGAATTACCCTAATTATGAGTTCCCGAATACTAAAAGCTTTTACGTCTTTGCTGAACGCACAATCACAAGTTTGTAAGAAATAACAAAAAAAACTTTTTTCATTTTGAACAGAAAAAAAGCTCTGGCTTTATTTGACTGTTGTTACATCATGTATAAACAACCAAAAATGCTACAAGTAATGCTAGTTATGTAGCAATCTCAGCACATCTTTGTCTGAATGCTATTTTATTTTAGCCAGTAATCTGCACTTCCAGTATTTAATATGTGACCCTGGACCACAAAACCAGTCAGATTTATACATCATCTGAACGCTGAATAAATAAGCTTTCCATTGATGTATGGTTTGTTAGGATATGACAATATTCGGCTGAGATACAACTATTTGAAAATCTGGAATCTGGGGGTGCATAAAAATCTAAATATTGAGAAAATCGCCTTTAAAGTTGTCCAAATGAAGTTCTTAATGCATATTACTAATCAAAAATTAAGTTTTGATATAGGCATTGGGGGAAAAAAGAGAGACAGATGAAATATTAAGTGTGAACATGGCTGGAAGACATGGGAAATAAATGGGTTTGCTTGACAGATTTGCTTGAGATTTGGATGGATCCATTGCTGGCCTGAAAAAAGCAACAGATAAAAATACTACATCAAAGTGGCTTGTAAAAGACCTGATTGTTTAATCATTACATTTTATTGATATACATCTTTTTTATTTTAATTGAACCTTTTCCCAAAAAAGACACCAGATATGAAAAGGATTTTGTGCGGTCAGATGGTAACGCTCACAAAACAAACCTGGTTCAGGATCAGCCTTTATTTTGTGATGTCCTTATTAATACTGAATACTCAACACATTGCAGACATGAAATATTGACTTGAGTGTAAATTGTTTTATTATGTGAGTGTGGAGTTCGGTGTGAAACAACGATCAACTGCAGTTTAGTGCCAAATGCATTCAATGGCAGAATGTCACGACCAATCAGAAAAAAGTGAGAGTGGAATTTGTTAATGATTGAATATAAAGTAAATTCACCAAAATAAGCAGAAACCGTCCACCGGGGTCAGAGGTCACATGAGCAGCGCTTTGTTTTCAGTTCCTCTAGAGCTCATTTCACTCATTCAGCTCAAGTAATAGCAGGAAAGTGTAAGATCGATGCTGATTGATCCGAAAGACCTTGGCAATTACCCCGTGTGCACAGGGCCATGGTTTAGTGGATGCGTAAACACAGCGCAGCGCTGCTGGATTGAGTTAAAGCTGGAATGGACACCTGGACTCGTCTGTCGCTTCTCATGAACGCAGAGGATTGTTGTTGTGTTGGGCTCTGCTGTCTGTCTGCGACTCGGGAAAATGCGAAGTGAAGGGTTTGACATCCGTAAGTGTTACATATTGTATAAAACGTCGCCCACATTTGACATGCAAATTTAATCAGGAAAGCTGCATATATTGTCATTTCGAACGCTGCCAGCAAACACAACGCTTAAATACAGTCATCAGATCATTTTTAAAGTCACTTTGTGTTTCTGTCATGTTGGACGCTTTCCTTTGCTTTTGATTGTTATTAAGCTACTTCTATTTGCTCAACCCTGATCTTGCTGCGTTACAGAAAATATTTTGCCATTTTGATTAGGGCTGGGTTGAAAATATTGTTTTCTTGATTTCGATCTATGCTGTTTTCAGTTGATGCACGGACAAAACTTAACTAAACATTACCACATCTCCCATCCAATAAATCGCAACAAGGTAATATGTGACCCTGGACCACAAAACCAGTCAGATTTATACATCATCTGAACGCTGAATAAATAAGCTTTCCATTGATGTATGGTTTGTTAGGATATGACAATATTCGGCTGAGATACAACTATTTGAAAATCTGGAATCTGGGGGTGCATAAAAATCTAAATATTGAGAAAATCGCCTTTAAAGTTGTCCAAATGAAGTTCTTAATGCATATTACTAATCAAAAATTAAGTTTTGATATATTTACCGTAGGAAATTTACAAAATATCTTCATGGAACATGATCTTTACTTAATATTCTAATGATTTTTGGCATAAAAGAAAAATCGATAATTTTGACCCGTACAATGTTTTTTTTTTTGGCTATTGCTAAAAATATCCCCAAGCGACTTCAGACCGATTTTGTGGTCCAGGGTCACATATAGAGACAGCAAGAAGTGTTTTAATGTAGTGATTACATTTTTTGCTAGACAGCAAAGCTGCACAGATAATTAACTGTTATGGGTGGAGTCACAAGACAACCTGAGCAAAATTGGTATTAGCAAAAAAGGAATTATGGTAATTCCAACAAAATGTGAACGCAACTTATTTTTATTGTTTGAGACCATTATTGGAAAAACTGTGAACATGTTACTGTTTGACAATCACTGTACTTGACATTTTTTAGGAATGTGTTACTACTACTAAAGATAAATAAACACCACCACCACTGTTTATACACACTTACCTCTGCGTACACATGCAAATACGATTGCATGAGCGGTGAAATAATATTCAGCCTGTGTGTGAAGATGAAATAAGAGATGAGAGATAAACATAAGAACAAATCCTTGCTGATGTCTAAATACTGTAAAAACATTGTGAGTGTATATGTTGTAAATTGTGGCTATAATATTTTTTCTTTTTTTGTCACATATCAGTCAGGCTTTCTTCAAATGAATGCATAGGATTTACTAAAACTAAACAGTACAGTGTAAACTACAACATTTTAGGAATATATTTTTGAATGTGTAAATGTGCAAAAAAATTTATAATAAAAGTGTTTGTGTTTGCATGTTTAAAAGGAGTTACAGCTAAAATAATTAGGAAAAGTCATGTGCATTTTAACATGTTAAACTGATAGTCCTAAAAAAATAACACAATATGCGCAAGAATACTGGGAAAGAGAACGGTTAAAAATAAATGAATAAATGTGAGCAAAACAAATCTCAAACTCACCACTTTCACATGAATATACTGTGTGCTTTTTAATTATGGCAAACACAAATAATAACATCCAAATAATAATAATTAAAAATTTAAAAAGTGCAAGATGATAATAACAGGATATGAGTTCACATTAGGATACATTCCAAGAGAAAATTTTATTTTACACATCAGAAACACATCTTGATAGTTTCCACCTTGCACTCTCCTACCATTCAAGCGGAGAAACCTCAAAGGATCCTGTCAAAATAGGTCCTACAATGTTTGTTAAATCCATGCCAGCCATATTTTCAAAACCTCTTTTACCCAGACATAGTAGATTATAATTTGACACTTTTCCGCTGGAATACAGAATACAATCATTCAGTGACGGGCCTCAATGACTGCTGTGCAGTGATGTCATCTACAATACTTCACCCAGAACAACTTTTAACACTAAACATGTTTGGATGTCTTGCCAGTTAAGTCACTGTATGGGGAAAAAATATGACAGCTTCAGCTCATCTGACGATTTCCTAAAAAGAAAAAAAAATACTGTATCTGCTGCAGTTAAATGTGTAGGTACTTTTAACAGAATACTTAGCAAATGTATTTTTGTCAATTAAAAAATGCCTCGTTTTGCGTCAACCAATTAATTTTTTCTGAATATTTAAAAATATTTTCTGTTTTAAAGTAGTACTTTAATATGCACACACACACACATCTTGCTGTAATTCATTTTAAGTTTTGTGTTTGTCAAACATTATTAAAGTCTCCCTAGTAGAAGCTCACTGCAAGCCAGTGCAATGCCGCTCAGTGTATTCTGTGATGGTGTATTGGCTTCCATTGCCACTGAAATTTTGTTTTAAACATTCAGTATAGATTACTGACCAAGGACAGTGTTTCACCAATCACATTTCAACCTAACAGCTGATGTGAAATGTAAAAATCATATTTTTAACATTAAGACAATATTTGAACCAAAACACCGGAACAACCCATGCAGTACGACTAGGAATACACAACAAACCTCTCACCACAAACAGCTCTGAATTTACACACACAACATGCACACACACACACTCTCATTTAAGGCCAAATTTGAAAGGTGATATAAACGGATAAACTAACAGAAAATGTGATCTTCTAACAGCTCTACAGGGTGGATAGAGATGTTCAAGAACACTTTAATAACACAAATATCATTATTTCATATCTTTAAATACATCAATAAAACCAGAGAAGAGACACCAGTTCACTCCCTGATGTTCCCTGACATGGACAAAAACACGTTTCTTTTAGATTTGAGCGTTTGGTTGTACACAATTCTTTTCCATGTCAAGATTTGCACAAACAGTGTTCTCCTACTTGCAAGTCTCAGACAAAAATATAGCAAAACATGGCATGAAACAAAGATCCTCCAACACAGATTGTGTATAGTGCTGAACTAAACCCAGAAAACAGGCACAGTCTATGACAAGAAAACCAGTTGTTAGACTTAGGATTCATTTGAACACACTTTATAGCAGTATGTATATTTAAAAAGCGCAAAAAGGCTCTATTAGAATAAATACCCATAATGCAGAGTGCATGGCAGTAGCAGATTAGATGGAAAGGGTAGTGCTAACAAGAAAGGTGGTGACTGATCGCTTTATGAAAGCTGTAAGTCTATCGTGTGATGCTCAGAATAAAACAAGAACTTTAACATCAAATCAAAGCAAGTGGACAATTAGTATCCAAACTAAACTATTTTGAAACCAAACAGAACCCTGTTCCATAAGACCCATTTTAATACTTTTGGACTGACACGCAGGCAAGCAGAACTAGAGGTAAAGTCGGTACCAGTGAGGGTGTTCACCATGTATTTAACCTAAAAAAAAAAATTAATGCATCAAATGCATACTGCATTTTTGACCTCTGACTTCAGACCTCTAGGGGGCAGTGTTGTGTTCTACAGGGTTGTTTACTCCGACCCGTTCTGAGCACTACCGTTCCGCTGCACTTTATCACACTCTATGCTCTAAGCAGTGAGTAGTATATAGCTTCTACTAGGGCACGATATGTAGTGCAGTATGCATCATTGTATGTTGTATGTAATGTAGTGCAAATATGAAGTACACAGCAGGTACCGCAATCACAACGTTATATGCAATTTGCATTATAGAGTCCAGAATGTAGTATGCCCTTGTGTCATGTAGCAAGTAGGGTGGGATGTGTAGTATGCCAACTACTAGGGATTAGCAAATATTTGTATTC